TTCAAGTGACATGCTGAAGATTAGAATATCATCAAAGTACACAACCACAGATTTTCCAATGAAAGGGCGCAAAGCTTGGTTCATGACACGCATGAAAGTGCTCGGTGCATTAGATAGTCCAAACAGCATAACCAACCACTCAAAAAGACCTTCGCGAGTTTTGAATACTGTTTTCCATTCATCTCCTTGGCGAATACGAATTTGGTGATAGCCGCTTCGTAAATCGAGTTTGGAAAAGATGCGTGCAGCACCTATTTGATCAAGTAAATCATCTAAGCGAGGAATCAGAAAACGATAGCGTACTGTAATCTTATTAATGGCGCGACTATCAACACACATGCGCCATGAACCATCTTTCTTCAGAACTAGCAAAGCTGGCACGGCACAAGGGCTTAAACTTTCCCGTAAAAATCCTTTAGAAACTAATCCTTCGACCTGTTTACGAAGCTCCTCATGCTCCGCTGGACTCATACGATAATGCGGGCGGTTAGGAAGTGACGCATCGGGAACCAAATCAATTTGATGTTGGATATCACGTAATGGTGGTAGTCCTGTTGGGAGATCATATGGGAAAACATCAGAAAATTTCTCTAGAAGTGCAGCAAAGGGAGGCTGAATCTGTGACTCTGCCGGCGGAGAAGAAGAAGGTGTAGCAAGGAGAACAATTACGAGACCTTTTTGTCGCATAGTAACCTCAAACGATGATTTTTGCATTAGTAAGAGTGGAGCCGTTGGTGTTGGTAGAGGTGGTGGTGACGATGGTTTTAAAGTAAAGCTTTGATTGTTATATTTGAAACTATACGTGTTGAGGAATCCATCACGTGTAACTCTACGGTCAAACTCCCAAGGGCGGCCTAGCAGCAAGTGACACGCGTCCATTGGAACCACGTCACAATACACTCGATCATGATATGCATCACCAATTGAGAAAGCAACCAAGGCGCGACGGGTAACTCGTACTTCGTTTGACTGCTGCAACCACGCAAGATGATACGGGTGAGGGTGTTCTTCATCTTTAAGCTCCAATTTGCGAACGGCGTCTGCGGCGATTACATTTTCACTACTACCAGAATCAATTATAAACTTGCAAACCTTCCCTGCAATCGTACAGAGAGACTGAAACAATGCATTTCTCTGCAGAAAATCAACGGGAAGACGAGGTGCTAAACAAGACCTACGCAGCATCAACGATGTTCCTGTATCTGCTTCGAGCTCTACGGGTGGGTCGTCTTCTTCTTCCACATATTCTAGCTCCACATCGCGACCAGAAACATCAAGCAATAGTCCTCTGTGATTGCATTTTGGACAGGAGGATTGGCGATGACCTGGCTCACCACAAGAGAAACATCGTAGAGTACTCACCCGATTTGTGCGATTAGGATCAACAGGAACGAGGGCTGTTTCTGTCTGAGCGGGTGTAATCTCTGTTGTAGATGGAGAAAAACTAACACCTGGCGAATTACGAGGCTGGCGTGAGGAACTCCAGGGAGAGAAGTTAATTTTGGTTTGAGATTCTTCGGTTAGAGCTTGTTGATGAGCTTCACCGATGGTAAGGGGATGTAACAGATTCAATGTGTGCTGAATTTGTTGGCGTAAGCCACTGATGAAGCGGGCGACTATTTGAGCCTCTGAATCTTGGAGATCAATCCGATTTAATAGCAAAAAAAATTCAGTGGCGTATTCCTCGACCGAATGATTGCCTTGTCGCAAGGTATGCAATCGCTGGAATAAAAATTGATCATAATTATATGGCAAAAACGTTTTGCGCATATGTTTCTTAAGTTTTACCCACGACATGATCTTAGGTTTGCCTAAACGAGTGCGTGACGTCTTAATTTGAGTCCACCAAGCTGCTGCTCTACTCCGGAATCGCATCGCAATCATAGGGACACAACGCTCAAGGGAAACGTGTTTAAACTCCAAAATTTCTTCAACTGTAGCGATCCAATCAAGTAACTCTTCTGCAGCTGGACCACCATGAAACTCAGGTATTTCGGTTTTGAAGCTCTGTTCCCAACGCCAATCTTCGTTCTGGGCCACAACGGGATGCGCAGCAAGAGGGGCAAAGGGATTCTCCTCTTGGCGATGTCCGTCGTCAGTAACTTGGTCGTCGTTTTGATTGTCCGGAAGGTGATGATCACGTTGAGCTGTAAGAGCTTGCATCGCTGTGGCAAGCTGATTGATTTGCTCTTGGATGCGAACCAAAGTCTGCCGCGTGAGTTCAGCTTCCGTCGGGGGTTGTTCACGGCGAGGAGCTCTCGGCATGGTGAACAAAGGTGTTTTGCTCTGATACCAACCTGATAGAGGGTAAGAACAAAGATTCAGCTCAATCTAGGGATTTCAGAGAAATCACTAGAGACCTGCTTCTTGAAGAAGATGAATTTAATCAAATCTTTCTCAAGGAACTTAAGCGATAGCTTGTTTATTAATTCTCAAATCTGTCTTACAAAGTTTGAATGAGAAGCTATAAATAGAACTCTAAACCTTGTCACAGCCGACATAGGAAAAGGAAAACCAGAGAAAGGAAATAACTAAAAGCCTTTTTAAAATAAGGAAAACTGACATTAAGTAAAGAAGAATTAAAAAATGGAAATAGCTATCAATAGCTGATGCTCGTTACTAGTCGTTTAGGATGCTGCTGCATCAAATACCTATTTAAATGGTCCCATGGCAAAAAAAGGTAAAAAATATGGAAGCATAAGACAATCGATACTTTGTCGAGTCCTCTTCCGAAGACGATGAAGTAGCGATACAACGCTTAAGAGCTAGCTATGAAGTAGAAGCCCAAGCTTGAGTCGATGGAGTAAAAGCAACTTGAAAGGATGGAGACTCGATCACTAAACAAAAGAAAGCTGTTTCATTGGATGCCCGAGCAAAGATGAAGGAACTTTAAGATGTTGAAAGAGGCTCGAACTAGACCGTCCTCAGTATTTTAGTTACGACACTCAGCCAACCAAACATAAAAACCAACACTAAGCCAGATCAACACGCACTAAAGCAACCAGGAAAACCTACTCACTCTACCAAGATCTCTCCCCCATGTCGGTTAGCACAGAGACAAGCAACCACACGAAACTGAAGTGTTACTACCTCCTCCAAATGCCAAGATTCCCAAGAAACACAACTTAACCCGAGACTAATCTCAACCAAGCCAAGACGACAGCGAAAACTCCAGAACTTAGCAACACTAGCTAAGGAACTGACATGAAGAAAACTCACTGGAGGCAGAGACGGAGCTCTTCACCGCCACCCCACAGATAGCATCAACGAGCCAAAGCAACCCTCAAAGCAAAAGCCTGAAAAGCCCACTCTGGAAAACAGTCCACCCCCACAAAGAAAGACCTCCACACAGCAAAAAAAACCCCAAGCAAACAGAAGAAACACGCGAAATTGAACCGCCGAGTAGGAGACGGGGTGACCGGAGAGACGCTACCCTGCCTCGACCCACCCGAACAACCAACCGAAACAAGAGAGATGACCAATTGAAACAGCCAAGCAACCGCCGCAGAGAGGTGAAGCCCAGATCTCCACCGACGCCACTACCGTCCCCAAGCAGGACAGATCGGAGAAGAAAAGCAAGAAGACACCGACGACGAATAACCAAGCAACCGCCTCGGCTTGCCGCCCGGCTAGATGAAAAAACTTCATTGTGCCGCTAGATAATAAGGAATTTATTCTGTGTCACATATTCTTATATACACTACTTGTCCTCCTAATTTTTTTTATCTCTTTCCAAAACAATTCATTTTGATTTCTTTACAACATGTCTCATCCACCTCAAACTCGACGGAGGATCAACTAATAACTTATTTTTATTTTTTTTTGTATGATAGTATGAGAATTGTCAATGGTTAAAACACTTCTGGAACATGATTATATATTTAGTAATTAAGCACATAAATTATATTTGTAATAATAGTTAGTGACAAAATAAGGAATAAGAATTACAAGGATAGTATTGATCAAGAATCAGTTGTCATTGCTACAATTTTTGTTATAACAAATTTATATTCACATTTTTTTGACAAATATAATTAGTCAATAATATAAAGCAAATTCGTGACTAATAGTATCTAATTTATGACACTTTGCTATTAGCCTTTGTCTAGGAAAACTCAAAATTCACTGTGGTTCTAACTATGTTTACGGGCTTCACTCAGGGGTGGACTTAGGTGAGGACGTACGGGGCATGTGCCCCATCTAATTCTTCATTTTCTATTGTAATTAGTGTAAATTCATCTAATTGTTTCTAATCCAAAAAAATTATAGTCCAAAATATATATATGCCCCCAACTAAATTGATTCCTAGATCCGCCACTACCTATAGGTGAAAGACGTATGGGGACATGTGCCCCATCTAATTCTTTATTTTCTATAGTAATTAGTGTAAATTCATTTAAATGTTTCTAATCCAAAAAAAATTATAGTCAAAAATATATATATATGCCCCCAACTAAATTGACTCCTAAATCCGCCACTAGCTTCACTAATCCAACTTAGTTATAAATAGAAACACTTTTTTATTTTATTTTAACGTACGTTAGTGTTTGATGTGACAGTGATTGTAGAAGCGTAACTCTCCCACTACGTAGAAGTAGAACCAAGCATGTGAACCGTTTCTGACCAAATAATGTATGACATGAGCTATACCGATTACCGACTAAAGTGTGTATACCTAAAAATGACTTATAGAATAATACAAAAGATATGCATATACGTTGATAACTAAATCCACGCAATTTTCATGGAATATGTGAATGCATCATCACATCCAATATTATATTTTTTAATAAGGTGTTGAAACAAACTATCCAAAAAAGCTTACATTTTCTTTTCTTTTTAAAAATTATGAATAAAAAAAATTATTTCACTTTGTTTCTTTTTTTAAACAAAAATCTACATTCATTACCTAAATCTTCACAAAAACTCACAAACTCACATTCATTACCCAAATCTTCACAAAGTATACAGAGAAAGAATGTTTTGGTAAAACAACGAAATTAGTGTAGTGTAGGATAAGCCCATAGTCCAGGTCCTCCAGGAATGGCTTCATCATCTAAATCACTGTCATCCGACGAACTATATATCCTCAGTAAATAGTTAACAACCTAGTTAAGAGATAAAACCACATAAAAACTAGATAGATAAGTTGCCCTACAAGTACCAAAAAAACACGAGAAAACATTTTCTTGGAAGAGAAAAAATGCTTTACCCGTTGAGTCGTCATAGGGTCGAGTGGCTTGTTGCCAAATTTCATCAACCCACATTGTTTCTTCGAATATTTCAGGTTGTCGTGCCAACCAATAGAGTCACACTTATCGCAGTAACCTCGACCAGATCTTACAAAATTTGATAACTTATCCTCTGCACGGTCACACAAAAGTACACATATGTCAAATTACATAAAGGAATACAATTATTTTTGAAAGAGAGAAGACAAAACAAAGCGCCCTTACCGATACAGGCCTGCTTAAAGGCTTCTCTGTAGTGAAGTTCGGACTGATTAAGAATCACAAATTTGTGATAAAAGTGAAGTTCAAATTCTGATCGCCACAGAGAATCCTCGCACGTTGCTTGGTTCCATGAGCTACAAAACAAAACAGATAAGTAGAGGGAGAGAAAGAGAAAGTAGCATAGGTTAAAGACTCTGCAATGTGGAAGTACCAAGACACTTGAGATGCGGAAAGTAAGGACCATGCATCGAGGAAACTGAAAATGTGAATGAGGATATCTTGTGGAAGTGAAGGTAAATTTGTAAAAAAAAAAAAAAAAAAAAGGTTTTACAACTAGTGAAGGATTATCTCAGGCTATTAGATCAAGAGAATTTTCCAGGAATTTTAACATTACCTATATCTTCGTCATGGCTTCTACTGCGTCTCTTGAGTGCTACTTTTGTCTTCTTGAAGTCTACAATGGCTAAGTTCTTCTTCTGTTTGGGGAACTCAGCTTCCACGCTCTTCAGGAGAAGTTTAGCGGCTGAAACAGCAGCTGATGTGTTCACACTAGATGAAAGAAAACAAAGACACAGAGTTTGAAACTGTTAGTGTTATTAATCTTTACTATAACTGCAAGATAAATCAAGAATCCAAGAGATTTATGTTATAAGAATTATGTGCTGTTGACAAGTAGTCTCATGTCTTACACCAAAAGAAAAAAGTAGTCTCATTTCTAACTAAGTGAAAAAACTTGCCCTTACGTTTACAATATTAAAACTCTCGCATTTATATAGAGAAAGCAGAACATTATAGCATTATTTTTAGCAAATTGACAAAGAAAATTTGAAATCAAAACGCAAACACAAAGAATCAGCAAAGCCCATATTCTATTGACTTAATTTGAGAAACTTTCAAACTTTTGTTTGAGTTTTCATGGTTTTTCAACAGACACAGGAACCATAAGATTAAAATGATGTAAACACAAAAAACCAATCTATTCAATTCAGAGATGAAATCACTATAAGTTTAGACTCAACTTTGCTATTTGATTTTTGTCAAGAACCTTAGAAGTTGTAAATATGTTTCTTATCATTCAAGGTTCGACAGCTAACGCCTTATATACATATTACATATAACCTAATCGTAATAACATTTTATGTGGCCCAATATATACGGCCCAATACCCCTCCTCAAGGTGGAGTGTGTAGATTACAAACACCCAGTTTGAACATGAAAACTTCAAATTCCTTGCGTCCCAAAGCTTTCGTAAGAATATCAGCAAGTTGCGACTTTGTGGAGACATGTTTGGTTGCAATGATACCACGAATAATCTAAAGTGGCAATCCAAACCAACATGTTTGGTGCGAGCATGATATACTGGATTAGCAGCAAGGTTAATAGCAGAGAGACTGTTCGAGTGCAAGACAATAGGATAGTTGCAGGAGATACCAAGAACAGGCAGAAGTTGTCGAATCCACAGAAGTTCCTGTACTGTATCAGCCATTGCATGATACTCTGCCTCCGATGACCGTGACACCATGTCCTGCTTCCTTATTTTCCAAGACAAAGGAGAGCCTCAGAGTTTGATAAACCAACCTGTGAGTGACCGTCTAGTGATAGGGCATGATGCCCAATCGGAATCACACCAAGCCGATACAGCCAAATCGGTTTTGGAGCAAAGAAGAATACCTTGTCCAGGACTCAATTTCAGATAATGAACACAACGAAGAGCCGCTTCCTAATGAGCTGGTTTATGACTATTCATAAACTAGGAGAGTATATGAATAGCATAAGAGAGTTCTGGACGTGTCTTACCGAGATAAATCAACTGGCCAACAAGGCGATGATAACATGCCGGATCAGATATGGTGTCGCTAGTGGCCAGAGCAAGTTTATGCTTTTGCTCAAGAGGAAACGCAACCGGTTTAACACCGAGTAAGCCTGTTTCAGTAACAATTTCAAGAGTGTATTTGCACTGACACAAGTTATCCCAATAGGGCTTCGCGCAACCTCTATCCCCATAAAATAACGCAATACACCGAGGTCCTTCATATGAAAGCACGAGCTCAAATAGAGTTTGAACTCAGTAATCACAGCAACAGAGTTCCCGGTAATGACCAAATCGTCGACATAGACAAGGGCATGAAGGATAACATCGTGCATTTCAAGAGTGAAAAGAGAGTAGTCAGCTTCAAAATGTCGAAAACCATATTCTTCTAATGCAGAACCAAGTTTTGCAAACCAACAACAAGGAGCCTGTTTGAGACCATATAGTGATTTGTGTAAGCGACAGACTTTTGTTTTATCATTGGTGCGAAAACCAGAGGAAAACTGCATATTGAGTTCTTCATCTAAATCACCGTGAAGAAAAGCGCTATGAAAATCCATCTGATGTACTTCCCAATCCAGAGTGACAACCAGTTGAAAGAAAGCTCGAATGGTGACCATTTTAACCACATGCGCAAAGGTGTGTATAATCAACCCCTTCGGTTTGATTATTGCCAAGAACAACAAGTCTAGCCTTATATCTCTCGAGAGTCCCATCCGACTTGAGTTTAATGCGAAACACCCATTTACAGCCAAGAGCCTTCTTGCCAGGTGGAAGCACTTCGACAGTCCAAGTACCACGGTCTTCAAGGGAGACGATTTCATCAGTGATAGCTAGACGTCAATTTTCGTTAAGAATCGCATTATTGTTCTACTGCTGAAGTAAGGGCCATGATATACGCCTGATAGGTGACTGAGAATTGGGAACTCGATAAGTAGTTATCGAGAGGATACGGTGTAGCCGAGGGTGGTGGTGCATAAATCAGAGTGGTCACATAATCTCTAAACTTAACAGACTCCTCCTTCTTACGATATCCACGTCCCAATATATCATCATCATTAGCGTCTTCTTCTTCTTCAACGACAGGCTCAGGAAGAGAATCAGATAAACAGGTAAATTTATCGTGACAGCACTTGGAGCTGAATTCTGGGAAAAAAACAGCTGCAGAAGGATCATCCGGAGGAGTAGCTGCAGATGACAGGTTGACAATCGCAGTGGGAGGAGTAACTGCAGATGTAGATTCAGTAAACTGGGCAATTGCAGATTCAACTGCAGGTGCCGAATCAACTGCAGGTGTCGATTCAATAGGCAAAATAGAGTCTCTTGTATTATCATCAGGACTTAGCGAAACAGGAGAGAGCAGATGAGGAGATGCAGTCTCATCAGAAGGAAAATAAAACTGAGTCTCACGAAAAACAACATCACGCGAGACTGAGATATTGCCAGTCTCAACATTGTACATGCGCCAACCCTTCTTTGCAAACGGATATCCAATGAAAATCGACTTATTGCTTCTACTCTCAAACTTGTCACCCCTATGCTTCTGATTATGGACATAATACACACAACCGAATACGCGAATGGTCGTTTGTAAATCATCTTGAATGGTGTCTTGCCATTCAGCAACGAAGTAGGGGTTCAGTTAATCAAATAAGCTGCAGTAAGAGCACAATAGCCCCAAAACTCTAGTGGGAGAGAAGCCTGAAAACGAAGAGCACGAGAAACGTTAAGAAGATGGAGATGCGTATACTCAACATGACCATTTTGTTGTGGAGTCCCAACATAAGAGGTCTCGTGTATGATCCCTTGTTCAGAAAAGAAAGTCGACAAGCATATAAATTCTGAACCATTATCACTTCGGATGATTCTGATTTGACTGTTAAATTGCCTTTCAACATGTTTCAAGAAGTTCTTAATGTGTAGTGGAACCTCTTGTTTGGATGTAAGTAGATAAACCCAAACAGCTCTAGAGTAATCATCGACCAGAGTGAGAAAGTCACGAGAACCGCAAAGAGCAGAGGTTCCATACAGACCCCATATATCGCAATGAACCATTTCAAAAGCAAAGCTCATTTTATTCATACTTAAAGGAAAAAGAACTCTGGTTTGTTTAGCATGGAGACAGATATCACATGCTTTGGAATCAAAACTAGAACTACTAAAATCAGAAAACTGCAACATCTTTAAAGCCTTGGACGATGGATGTCCCAGCCGTTGATGCCAGAGATCAATAGACTCTGAATCCGATCTCTATATCACTGCTGCTACCTCCATTCCTCAAAAAAATAGAGTCCACTTTGCTGATCTTGTCAGTAATCTGGAAGAGACAATGCTGATCTCTAATCAATTGTGAAACTGATATGATATGACATTTAAGACCATCAATGAAAAACACTTCTTGCAGGCTCAAATCCGAACCCAAATGGAGACAGCCCTGTTTTGTAGCAGTAGTAAAATGACCATCCAAAAGAAACATCCACTCCAGTCATATGATTTGAAGCCCCTGTATCAATAATCAAAGATTCAGAGAAATACGTACCAGATAGACTCTCATTGGAAGGTGGTTTGCGTTCTTCAAGTAATTGTACCAGCATCTTCCACTGAGTGTCACTCAAACCACTTATTCCCACTCGATCAGCTGAGGTTAAAGATGGAGCAGACGTAGTGACATTCGTTGCAAAAGCAGGTGTGAATACATGATTTGCTGAACCACGATTTCTATGAGAAGCAGAGCCTTTCAAACCACGCCCTCGGGCTGAGTTTGTAGTTGACCGATTCTTTGTTTTCTCGTCATACCAATCGGTATATCCAATCAAACGAAAACATTGTTCAACTAAATGACCATTGCGTCCACAGTGTGTGCAGACACGAGTATCCGGGAGATTCTTCTTATTAGTAAAAGAGTGAGGTTCTGAAGTGGTTTGAACCACAAAACTAACACCATTTCTTCTTTCTTCTGTAAGGCAGTCCAATGATTTTGATTCCTCATCTTGGGTAAGTGTATTATACGCATCTTCAAGTGTAGGCAGTGGTACATAAGACAGGAGAGATGATTTAACAGCTCCATACAAAGATTCATCAAGACCCATAAGGAATTGATGAAGTTTATCATCCTCACGTTTTTGGCGAACCTCTTCCATTGTCTTAGCTCTTTGGTAGCCAGCCAAGCTTTTCCATAACTGAGAGATTTTCACGTAGTAGGCTTCAATAGCAAAACCTTTTTGATGACATGTAGTAAGCTCTTGTTTAAGACGTTGAACACGTTGACCATTCTTGACGCCAAATCGTTTTTGAATGTGTGTCCAAAGTTCATGAGAATCATCAATATGAGACATCGAAGTAGAGAGATTGTCATCAATCGTTAACTTCATCCATGAACCAACAAGAGCATTGTTCACTGTCCAGTCTTCAAAATCAGGAGATGTTTCATCTAGTTCCGGTATAGATCCGTCAGCGAAATCAAACTTCTTGCGCGCCTTAAGTGCCAAACGTAGATTGGTGGACCATTCATTGTAGTTAGGTCCTCGCAACAACGGCTTAGAAATTAGGGTTCCCGGATTATCACCAGAAGACAGATCGTAAGGAGAAATTGTACGCCTTGATTGTGACGTTGAAGATTTATGAAGTTGAGGTAACGACGACTGATTTGGTACTCATCGTTCAAAGAAATTTTGTTGAAAGAAGATGAACAAAATGAGGTCAATAGAAAGAGAGGAAAACGAACAAGAACAGATCTCTTAGCGGAAATTCAGAGATCTCAAGATCGAAAGCTTAAACCTTTGAAGTAGTTAGGTTAAAGCTCTGATACCATGTCAAGAACCTTAGAAGTTATAAATAGGTTTCTTATCATTCAAGGTTTGACGGCCAACGCTTTATACATATTACATATAACCTAATCGTAACAACATATTATATGGCCCAATATATACATATACGGTCCAATAATTTTTTAATTTTT